AGAGCTTGCCACTGGAAACCCAGTTGGAGAAGGGAAGAATGTACTTCTTCGCGATGCCTTTGACGCTATAAAGCGGCTAAGTTACTTCATTTTCAATAAAAATAAACTGTTGGTGTTATTCTGTTATATCCAGTGACACGTTCAACTGTAATAGATAGAATCAGCAACACGAGATATAAATACGAACAAGTCACCGCAGAAAAATACTGTTGTGCAGTGCATAAAACGGCTAAGTAATTGAAAAATAAACATAGCAATAGTAATTTAACGTCAAATATTAAGAAAATATGGTTTTTACTGACTTCTCGTAAAATGCCGGAGCCATATAAATAGGGTTTTACACACTGTGCGTTAAATGCCGGTGGCATATAAATATGTGTTACAATATATGAATGTACAGTAGTGTCCGGATATATGGCCAAAAAGTAATTGAGGAAGTGGAAGGTTAATGATAATAATAACAATAAAAATAAGAAGAATAAGAATAAAATACTGGTGTGTGAGTGAAAGTGCGTGAGTGCGATAATGATTACCTTTCCATGTGTAATATAAAATAGTTTAAGTTTCGTTTATATCTATATTCACAGTAGTTACGTTAATTAAATACTTTATACAAATACTTTGTCCCGTGACTCCTCGAACACCCGGAAATGGGGGGTTGCTGGGGCGACTGATTCTGAACAACTTTTTCCTTTACCAAAATGTTGGTTGAAGCTTCGTTTTTGAATTATTAACGAAAAACACTGGCCAATCAGAGCGAGCGTAGAGCCCGCGCCCAGGCACGGGAGCGCAGGGACTGATCCGCGCGCGATCGTGAACAAATGCATACGCGTCACTTCTCAGTTATCGATCGCTGTCAAAAAAAATTTGACTGCTATTTTTATAAGGCTTAGAGAAATGATTTTTGCCGTCATTCCGATGTTTGTATAACAATACAATCCACGACATAGTTGGATGCATGCGTACTCGAAGAAAATTTAAAGTCAATTTTCTCGAAAACGAAGCCTCGTATATTCGACTTATTTTTTCATGTAGAATCACCCCCTCCACGGTTGTACCATCAATACTGAGACACCCTGTATACGTGTACTTTAGTTTAAAGTATTATTGTCGATATATACAAAAATCAGTGGAGCGGTAACTCCAGTTATTGCTGACGCCATCTTATATAACATGCTTCCAGGAAAAACTAGTCTGAGGTTTTGTCATGCCGCTGAATAGGACTTTTACTTTTTGCAGTAAAACCATAATTTAAGAGAAAACGAATTTTAGATGTTGCAAATAACAAAGAACGATAGGCATTCAACATTCAAAGAACTAAACATGTAAATAGTTCTATTACATATTATACTTCCAATATAAACAGTGTTAATATAAACAGTTGATTGTTTCAAATAACGGTCGAGCCTTGGTTTGTGCCTATACGTGGTGTGCCGACTAAAAAACTTCTTGAAGGACAAGTATTTGAGACGAAAATTCTATCTTATTTTTAACTATAATTCCAGACTATGTTTGAGCAGAGTGCTCCTGGATAATACACTGCTTGCCAAAAAAATTGCAACCCCTTAAAAACGAAACCGCACGAATCTGAAATTTACATATATTATTTGGGGTATTTTGAAAGGAAAAAATGATTATGATTAGAAAAGGTCTTAGAGTTACCGAGATACAATTAATAATGCGTTGAATCGCCTCGTGATTGAATAGGTACATGCATTTAACCCGTCTGGGTATGCTTTATCATTGAATCAATTTGATCCTAGGGCAACTCATTCCAAGCTAACAAAATTTGTTCACGTAACTCATTAACACCTTATCGACAAAAGACTCGATACCGCGTCAAATTGAACATTGTCATCTGTTACGGATGATGAGGTAATGCGTCAAATGAATATCACGCGTTGTGTTGTTAAATTTAATTAATATGTATTACTTCTTTATTATTTCTATTATATGTTTTTTTGCAAATGTAAATATACTTTTCTTCTTATGTTATAATAGTTACGAGTTCAATAAATTATCAGTTTTTCTATTAAAAGAACGATTTTACAGCACATTTCTATGCATTTCCACGTCCCGTATCAGGTGTAAGTAATCAGCGCAATGGCCTCGTCGATAAGGTGTTCAGATGTGTTGGTAGGTTTGTCACAGAATTGTCACGAAAAATTTCAACTTGTTGATTAACCACTCATGAAAAACAAATTTCAAATTCGAATTCAGCAAACGTTAAATAGTTGATAATTAGCTTACGCTTTATTTTCTGATCAAATTTTAATCATTTCTTCCTCAGAGTAGCCCGATAAGCATACTTATGTTATTTCCAGATTTGTCTAACCTCGATTTCTAGGTATTGTAATTTTCTTTGGCGAGCAGCGTATTATTACGTGTCTACTAAACGTCTTTTCATTCAGCACACCACGTGAAAGCACAAACCAAGGCTCGACCGTTATTTGAAACAATCACGGGCTTAACAAACTGTCGTACGTTTGTAGGAGTATACGGTCCTATGAATACATTGTAAAAGACCAAATAGAAGACTAAATCTCGCATTCTCTGGGTTTGTTAGTCGATATTTATCAGCAGAGATTAAAACGGAACTCTCCGTGTACAGCTATATAAATGTTACTTTCTTTCTATGTTACACATACATGCGCGCGCAGTCGGGTACCGTAACTTTCGGACCAGTCAACGAATATGTACACAACGGGCAGCATCCAATGCATGTGAATTAACACCAGGGGACATCTGCGATTTAAATCTCGAATGCTTTTCAAGCCAACACTTTCCACACTCGCAGTTCATGGACAATAAAAATGTTAAAATCTGTATGACGTTAAAAAAATTTGTTTAGACTGAATATCAATGGTGAAACATCAATCGCTGCTAATGATATTAAAAAGAGTACAGTTTTATTGTACATATACATAGTTGAGGCACATAGATAAAAATAAATTTTATAAATTATTATCGGACTCCATGTTTGTTGAAGTGTTTCTTCGCCTTTTTGCTAATTTAATTATGGTTATAAGAGTTTTTAATTTGTCGGTGCTTATGCTTTGTGATACATTCTTTCTACAATTGATTACTGATACTGACAACTATATATAATATTTCTACAATAATTAAATAAATAATCTCATCCAACGTCCTCTAATCAACCCGTCTAACACTGTCCTTGCACATATTGTGATGGGCAACCATCATGTAATGTTTACGTTCGATTACGAACCTGATCTTTGGAGGAAAATATCTGAAAACTGAATGAAGGGAATGGTATGGTATTAAGGTCGTTGAACTTGTTTTTTTACTCTCTACAAGGATATTGAAAAAAAATATAGGGTTCCATTTATAAAAATAACAATGACCTTGAAATCTCGTAAAACAATAACCTTGAGAAAAAACCGTTTCTATGATTACATGTGTCCCTTGAAATAGTGTAACTTCGTCCTGAAAAGTTTTTTCATATAACAACAAAGAAGGCAGGTATTTAGGTGGTCCCATTTAACTGAGCCATCCCGTATACCAGAGCCGCTTAACTTCTTGCTCACGAGCAAATTTCCCCTCCCGAGGTTCCCCCACTATGCGGTACGAACACGCAGAATGTGTAACATAAACCAACGGCAGAGGGGAAACTTGCTCGTGAGCAAGAAGTTAAGCGGCTCTTGCTGTATACAATCCATGGCAAATTGACTTCCTCAAAAACGACAATGTCCTGTGCCGACTGCAGCATAAGTCTGAACACGTGGCCTTGGCAATTATATAGGGTGTCCCAGTATTGATGTTATGATTCTAATTGAAAGTGCAAAGATTTGTGTGCATTAACAAGAACGTCACTTCTAATAATTCGTTCAGTAATGTAAATTTAAACGAAGGAAATCGTTAATAAATGTATTATCACTACTGATCATGACATTGACATCGCTTATTAATACAAACGTAAGTCGAGACATAGTTATGTATATAAGTGCACACATATCTACTCGCAGAATATTCAAAGTCAAATGAAACTCAAATGAAAAAAATTTGTTCCATATTTTTGACTTATTTTTTCTCTCGGTTATACTTATTTGACTCGGTTGCGCCGCCAATACTGGGATACCCTGCATTGTACTATGAGCTTAAAAATATTTTGCATGTATCAGCAACAAAAGACAACATTGAGGAAAACACTTCAAGCTGATTCACTTTATGATATCACTGATTACGCATATCGATAAATGTGTTGGATAAGTAGATTAGGATAAGAAATATCATTCCTTTGAAAATAAGTAATTTTATGGCATGCTTATTTAAGAACTTGTATTATTATGCTTATAAAAAATTTCCACATGCCTACTCCATTACCTTAAGTACAGGATAGCTCACATAACATCGAACAGTTTAATTACTCGCGAAACGCGTGATCAACTTTGATTTTTCTGATTTCATACTCTATAGATTCCCAGGTTTTTACTTACGTTCCCTAAGGGATGGAATAAGTGTCAGTTTCAAATATTCAAACGTAAACGTACACTCTGTCCAATTTAAGAATAACCTCGCTTCGCGCATGGGGCGTGCCTAAGGCAGGGCTAGAACGTCCAAACCCCCCACTTAACCGCCTACGTTTTTCTCCGTCTTACCCTCTGCTACGCTCTCTGTCTATGCGCAGAACGGACGAAAATCGGTCCGAGAGCGAGGTTATTCTTAACCCCTTGCACTACGCTGAACCTAGGAAAAAGCCAGGCCAAACCCGTCCGCCCGAATGGTCGCGAAGAGAGCCGAGTGGCGGAGCCCGAGTGTCGAAATTTGAAATACGATATCTTACGACTGAGTGCAACATAGTCGCGCCTGTATTTACTTCACGCGATGAAGCTCTTGTGAAATTCAAATGAATTTGAATCAAAAACTTTTAAAAAATACTTTAATTATAATATGATTAATAATAATATGATTAATTAATAGCGAAATAAAAATAAATGAATGCAAATCCACGGCAGTAATATTTGAACTGAAATAAATTTTCAGATTATGTCACTATCATCAGACCTAAAAATGAAAAACACAATATAAATAAACAATTAAATATCAACGAACAATTAAATTGAAAAAAACTTACAAGTCTAAATTTAATAATCCTGCATGGTATGATACTTTCTAAAACATTCCGGTACATGCAAAGCCACCTTACATTTTTCGCATTCCCAGGTCGTTTCGCTTCGTTTTTTCTGTTTGTAACACACTTTAGATATTCTAGTTAGGTGTTGCTTTTTAGGAGTTCCATCAATATGTTTTGGGAAATGAGCCCAATATTGTGCCTGTAAGCGCATTGGTGTTTGACTCCCTGCGGATTTCACGTGTCTTGTGTAGTCAGGCAGCCATACATATTTTAAAATTGCCTCGGCTGTACCTATTCTGTAATTCACGTATGATTGTCTTCCTGGATCTTGTAATTGTTTTTTTTATAACGTATGTATTAAATAGGGCCATATCAGGCATATAAAAAAAAGAGTTTTTTGTAACCCTTGAAATATTTCCTCATAATGGGGAAACATGCCAACATTTGGTCATCGAGGTCAATTCCACTCATTCCTTTGTTATACTCAAAGTCATTTCGTCCGTCACTTCGGTCAATTCCACAGATGCGTGTTTCGTGGTCAACATATAGACATCACGTTTGTCCTTCCATCTTAAAGCTAATAACCCATTGCACGTTCTGCGTAGATGTTCCCCTGGTTTTAACTGTCTTGTTGAAATATCCCTCGGCATATTTTTCCTGTTATTACGCACGGTGCCGATAACATTTGTTTTTTGTTTGTGCAGTCTTAGAAAGAGAGCGGGTGAGGAATACCAATTGTCAATGCACAATGTGTATCCTTTATTTAGTATCGATTCTGCCAATTCCGTCACAACATTTTCCGGTGCACTATCATTTAGGTCAATTTTATCTTGGCCAGTATATACTTCAAAATTGCTGCAGAATCCAGTACTTGCTTCACATAGTTTATATATTTTTAATCCAAAACCTGGCTCGTTTGGATGGGTTAAATTGTAACGGCCTTTATATTTTTATCCGGTGTGTAAATCTTATTAAATTTGTCGTTCCAGTAATTAATAATTGGTCTTATCTTGTGAAGGCGGTCGTTGCTGCAATCCGTTATGTTGATATTTGGGTAAATCTTTTGAGCGGCATTACTTTTCCAAATATAGGTGTTTCTATCACTTCCCGCTTAGACCAATTCATTTGTGTCTAGGCGTGAGCAATTTAACAATTTGTAGTGTGAAAGAGAGTCTTTCGTGTATTCTCACTTCAAACGTCAACGTTAATGACGATTGAATATTTGTTGAAATTGGATACTGGAAGGTGGTGAAAGAATGATGTCACGAGTATACATAACACTTAAACTTTAAATTTATTCTACAACTGTTGAATTAGAAAAACGCGTTAGACTGGTGATAATAATTTCTGTGCTGAATAGCTGATAGTTTTTTAGAATCTCGTCTTCCTTTGAAGGAATTCGTGCGTAATATTTTATTAGTTGCCCTGACTCGGCCAAGGTAAATGAAAATTAACACGGCCGAGGTAAAATTCTTAATCCTACTACAAAAGGGGCAATCGTCGCTATACATTCAAAGAAGGTGAAATATGCACAATGGTTTTTACTTATAATTAGTTTTACGCCTTAACAATTTGTATATTTGGTTTTTTGACTTGCGCCATCAAAATGCACAGCGCATAATAGGCCATTATCTCATCCTTCGTAACTGGAAACCAACCATCATCCAGTCTCCTTCTTCTCCCATTGTTCATTATTTGTTTGCGTAACTACAGTGTCCCACAAATTTTCGTCGAATACAACAAAAGATAAATCTAATAATCCGGCATTCGTGGCTAACTGGTTTAAAACATAGTCTTTTACACCACAAGACTCGGAATATTCCCAAATTGTTAGTGTGTTATCAATTTCCTTCCAATTCCATTCAACACTCAATTCAGGTCTGGGATTTTCCTCTTCATCGCCGTCATATTATAATTAATCTTCTTGCGGGATTTATCACTGGCACAATGACGCTGCTGTCATTAGAATTTTCATCACTGTTTATAACTCTTTCACTATCTATCGATTGACAGCTTGAAACATTGGAAGCCTTTCCACTACTCTTACTTCAAACGCGAACTACTTGCTTTTTTAGTAATTTTGATACTTCTTTTTTTATACATGCTGGAGGAGGGCTTGGTAAAATTAAAAATAGTCAAGAATATCACTTTCTGTAGAGCAGGCTGTTCGAAACGTGTGCACCTCGTATAAAGAATGGTACAAACTGAACAACGACTGAAGCTTTCTTGGTCTCGCCGCGTGCCCATGTTTATTTAACTTGGAGACGCAATCTGTACCACGAAAAGCAACACTATCTCCTAGCTAGCACGTGGCCTCTATGGGGACCCACAATCCCATTCGAGGTATTCATACTTGGCCCGAAATTAAGACCACGAGTCAGACTCGTGATATTCATGTTTGGCCTGAAATGTTGATAACGAGTCTGACTCGTGATATTCAAGTTTGGCCTAAAATTTTCATCACGAGTCAGACTCGTAAAAATAGCGCAAGGGGTTAAATTGGACAGAGTATATGTAAAACCACCCGATATGTCGGGTTCGGGTCGGGCCGGAAAAAATCGGGCGAGTTGGGGGGATACCCGACACATACACGTACAACACTCGGATAGCCCGACTGCTTCGGGTACTCGCGGTTAAGTCGGAAAAGGTCGAACTCGGACGAGATCCCACGGCCCACGATTCCCGTAATTCGATTTCAGATTATGTTTGTAATTGATTGTATTACGTTCATAATGTAGACTTTGATACTCAGCTCTTTTAGACAGCCAAGTATCTTGGTCTATATGGAAGTTTGAAATAAAATAATTTTTATGTGAAAAAACAATATTTCTAACGGATTTATTTGAAACGAACTTCATCCCATGTAACCTGTATATTCATTTCGTATAAAGTATGCGAGTTGAATTTTTACTTTATCAGAAGTGGAAAATGCATTCTGGTAACAAATTAATTTTTTAATATTACAGTAGTAAATACGCGCGTAGAAAGGAATAACTGGATGTATCCCGGGCCGAGGGATCTCGTCCGAGCCCGACCGAGTCAGGTGGCCCGACTTTTCCCGATCTAACCCGAGAGTCGGGCTACCCGAAACAGTAAGGGCGGGTGTACCCGACACATTGGATGGCCTGCGCACTCCTAAAAACCATATGCCATTAATATAATTTATTCTACAAATTCGTTTTCTACAAACGAATAGACTATATTACTTTATTAAAAATAGTGTATTTAATCATTTTGGTACATATTGTTGCTTTCAATAATTTTCTGTAACCCTCCATCGTCAAAAGTAATTGTAAAACAGAGTGGCGTACTTTTCCAAGCAGTTAAAAGACAGAAACGAAAAAATTTACCGCAGCTCTTAAGAACATTCTTTTTCGGACTTTACTCTTTCTTTAAAATATCCCCTTAAAAAAAATTCGGTAAAAATTCGAAAGACCCAGATAGAATGATATGATTCATATATTAAAAAACGAACTTAAGAGTAGATGTAATATTTTTAGATGTCTCCTAATGAACATATACATACTTTTTCTTAAACTTTCACTTTCCAGAGATTCTCATTGTTCAGCAATTTTCTCTTCGGTTAGTCTAACACACTGACACTAAATAACATTCAGTTTTAAATTCTTTGATTACAATTTAGAGTGCATGCCTATGTTTTTCTGGAGTGTTTGTTCTGATTCTAATCTTAACTAATGCTAGGTGTGAAGTAACAGACTTCATGAACCAGCTAGTACAGACTCAGACTCAACCAGCATTCACTAGTCGAGTCTCAACTGTTGTCTAGCTAGCTCACTCACACCCAGCCCAAAGATCATATACTGAAACGCAGCCCACAGTACTAGAGGAGGGTTTTCCGAGTTTCACAGTTGCTACAAGTCCTCCTCAGTTCATTAGCAAATTCACACAATACACATGTACGCTCAACAGATATTGTAACAGTTACAAGAGCCGTAGATCCTCAGCAGTAGACAATGGCGTAAATTCTGTTGTTACTGTTTTCAGAGTAATTCAGAACGGATATTATGCCGGACAATTAATAATCTCCGTGTTGAGACTGTTCCAGGAGATAAACCATGAAATTCAAACATTAACCACTGTTAGGACAGCAAGGGAACGATTTTATGATACGTGACTTTATTTCAGTAAACCGTTATTTTTAATTTAGCAGACCGGTCTGCAGCCAACATGCGGCACCTAGACTTTCTAAATATTAAAGAATAGGCTATTGTTCAGCTAGCAAGGCAAGATACCATAAAGTCATCTCCAAAAGGGTCTTCGGAAAAAACCGATGTAATTACCGAGGCCACTTTGGTAAACTCCCTTCCGAGCAAGACGGAAGGTCAGCGTTGACCTGGCTGGATTTTCCCCCTTGTTACCAAACCCCCTTGTCACCACTGCTCCAAGGACATTTCGCGCTCCGGGCGCAATGGAAGGGGGTGATACGGGGTTGGTCAATTAGCATTTTTAAGAACCTCCCTTTGCATCCCTTCCTCAAATTTGGGAGAATTTGGAGAAGGGACAAGCCAATAAAGAGAGTGGAATCAGCGAGATTCACTTACTATTAGTTCAGCAGTCAGAGATTATTAGCTCAGTATCAGTTAAATACCATTAGTGCAATATCATTCAAAGACTATTAGCTCAGTATCAGTCAAAGACTATTAGCTCAGTATCAGTCAGACTATTAGTTCAAGATCTGTCAGTTTCGAACATTAAGAGTTAACTAGTAGGATCTCGAATCAGCGAGATCCATTCATTAGCAGTCTCAACCACTAAAATCAGTCATCTGAACATTGTTAGTTAGTGTAAATTGAGAACGATAAACTCATTAGACGGCACCAAGTGCAATATTCGTAAGTACGCGGAAAGTGAGTGTCCAAGTGCTTAACAAAATGCTATAAAATTTGAACAAGTTACACATTGGTTAATTTTCTGATATTAATTGATAACTTGAAGTGTCTAGTTTGTATTAGTATGGCCGAGAAGCCATTAATTTACGTTGTAATAAAATTGGAAACAAAAGACTAAAAAAGGTCATTACCCCACTAGATAATTTCGGCCATCGTTTTTCTTTATAAAAGAGGTAAGAAAACTGTTAAATTAATAAAAAATTTTATTATTTTTTGTAGTTAGCAGTGATTTCACTTTTTTTGTTGTTACGGATTACGCTTTGTGTCCTTAAACGGAGCGGAATTTCAGTTAGTTAGATAGGAGGCCTGGAACATTCAACGCATGTGGTTACTACGTCGTTCTCCAATAGGTAGAAGGGTTGAGGACAGTGCGTATCGTAATGTTAGATATACTTCGAGCGGTAAAGGTATATCTTTGTGAGTTTAGCTTATTCGTTGCTAATGTTACCAAGAAGATGGTTATTGAATATAGGCAGATGTAATTCTACAATAACTATATTCTATTAATAATAATGTTTAAGTTTACAAAAGTTTTACAATGGTCTAAAGATAAAGTACACTGGTCGATTCTTGACTGGGCAAGAATCTTCCTTCTCGACTTGACACGGCGAGTGCGCAGGGGCGTCGTAGACAGGAATGTCTAGTTGACACTTACGAAATAAGTATTAAACTCGGTTGCTCGAAAGGGAGTTCAGCCCGATCTTGCTTGTGTCAAACGGCGATTATGAGAATACTGATCTACTTTAAAGTTCAGAGTGACACCAAAATCTGTATTTTTTGGTGGTGGGGCCCTAATTTTTCGTGGGAACGGGGTCAGTATACCTTACAACACATATGGTCAACTCGCGGCCCACGGGGCGCATATGGCCCGCGACTTCTCTTAGTTTGGCCCGCGATCCGTCCCTTCGAAATCTAACCCTTTCGCAACTAGCGCCGGTTATATCCGGCACCCACTAAGCGCGTCGCATTGGCTCGCGCCTCGACAACTCAAAGTGAAGAATTATTTTAAAATACAGAACAAGGCCTGAAC